CTCTATATTTTGGTGGTAATTATAAATTATTATCTTCCTGCGCGTATGTGTACTTTGTTACTCTCTCTCATTGCATCTGTATTTCAATCCTTGTATTCATCTGCTCCCTACGCAGATAATTAAGAAGATCTCTGAACTTCCTACCTGCCAATGCATTGAGTTGGTGGAGGACATCTCCTCCCCGGACAAGAGTGAGGACGGCGACAAAACAAAGACGGGCAAAAAGCGAACGAAGCTCGAGCTCGCCGTACAGTCCGCCCTGGAGGCTGCCAAGGATGTTCTGCGGCCACCCACACCCCCACCACCGCCTCCTGCAGAACCTCTGCCACCGAGGTCAGTTTTCAGACCATGGTCTCGCCGGTTTCCGCCACTTTTGCAAGCAAATTAATTTGATTAGCTGAAAACCGGTTGTTTCAATTATATGTCAGTTCAATCGTTGATTTTCCACAATTTCCATCGCGTGCCTCAGTAGGTTAAAAGTAAACGCGGTGACTTGCGTGTGAGTTTGCTTTAAGCGATCGCAGACTTTCGCCGCACCCTCCACACTCTCTCTTATTCCTTACCTGCCTTCGCTTGGTATCAAGCCAAAGTTAAGAAGACCAGAAACGCGATCGGGCACAGGTGGCTAGTGTAGCGTGAGTCTGCACCTAAGAGAGCCATCACGCCCCCACTCGCATGTTCGGCATTTTTTATGGGAATGCACTCTGAATAACGCTGACCGTGCTCTGATCTAGTCTCCAACGTATCTACCACCTGGCCCTTTTAGGGAGCACTTTCACTTTAATACTTAGACTGCACAGTCTCTGACCAATCTCGTGTAATGTCAAACAACATTTACTGAGGTGGTGCTGCAGCGAACATAACACTTGGAGTTCACCCAGTAGCAGCAAAGCTCTGGGTTCGTTATGTCGCGAACATTTAACCGTTGTCGAAACAACTAACGCCGAGCACCTTCAAAAATTCCTAAAAGTGATTGACCTGATTACCCAATTAATAACGCAATTCAACACGAACTCCCGCTATTCTACATCCTTTTGCGCTGGTAGGCATCTGAAGAGTCGAAAACCACTGACAAAATACAAATATTACACTCTGAAATCGGTCACACTTAGTCTTATAAACCTACCTGCGTCCGGACTATATTCCAAAGAGTTCAGACACACTCAACACGCTAGTTAACAAAAGACCTTAACAACAAGGTTTTCATTCACTGTTTGAAGTCAGTTGATACTTAAGAAATTTGATCGGGCAAAGAAGGTGCGTGTGAAGAGATGACACTCAAAGGAGCAGTAATCGGAAGTCTGGAGGGCCATCCCCATATCAATGAATTCGCTAAAGTGGTTTCCCGACTGATATAATTCGCTAGAGTAGGTATAGGACATCGACTCCAGGCACAACTTCGGTACCGTTTGATGAAACCTAAAGACCTGCTAGCACCGAACCCTCTGCAGGTGTCTGCAAAGTAAGTGGCAATGATTAGGACAACAAACAAATTGCGGAAACCCGACAAAAATCGCAGACCTTTCACCCACACCAGCACAAGTTGGCAACTTGGAGACTGGACCCCAACTGGCAACTTGCAGCGCACATGGGAGAAACTTGCCATACTTTTGACCTGCAGGAAACGACCACATGTGGCTAGGGCAATTCAAGGACACAACTGCTACTAATCGAGGTATGATAAGGAGATATCAAATAAATCAGCAGGCGCACTGACCCTCCTGTAGCCTAGTACATTCTGTGTTATTATGCCTAAGAAGGGAACACGCAAATTAAGAAAGCCATGCAGACACGGCGAACTCAGTTAGGGAGAGCGAACAATAGCCATCAGACCGAATAATGCCCGTAGAGGCCCAACCACCCTCCAATGTGGTGACTACTCGATAAGTCTGCAGCTCTCATGGCTGACACCCATGAGGCAATGAACCGAGGGAAAGCGATAGAAAATGCAATCGACCAGCACAAGGCTGACTGTCGTGGCATGCCATTTCCATTGCTGTTTGAATTTTTCTATTAAATGCTTTGACTGTGGTGAGTCGGCAAAATTCTCCGAACGCTCAGCAGTTTACTATATCTGGGCTCGGATGAGCCCTTCGGTTTTCTTTAGTTATCACCCTGACACTCTGAAATTTGCGAACCTAAGTAAATTTGATAATAACCACAGTAGGCAGACGTTTTACTATTAAATTTTCAAATCTTCCTTGCTAACAGTCGTTTCATACATGTTTACTGTAATTGGCACGAAATTTCTCTAGATGTAGCTCACAAAACGGTTGCAGTCCGTAGAACTATCTTGAACCTCAGTGACGTTTGTAGTTTCATTCCCAGTATTCAATGCAAGCGATAGAAATACCATTCAATTTCCTTTCCACAAAAAAACTTTTCGCTTACATTTAGATAACAGGGGTTTCTTTTTTTCAGCTAGCCAACGGCATCGTCCCTGAGCCAGCTAAGATAACTAACTAAATGAGATAATTTAAGGCATGTCTCTCACAGCCAGTAGTCGATTTACAGTTTATGTCGCTTTAAAGTAAAAATTCTCCCTCGATTTCTTTTTTAATGACCATATTTGAAAGAGGCTGAGTCAAAACTGTGGACTCATTTGTATTTTTGTTCCTCATTCTCGTATAATATCGCTTTATCATTTAAATAA